AAAAATAGCCAGGCATTGTGGCAGATGCCTATAGTCCCAGATACTTGGGAGGCTGAGGCAAGAGAAATGCTTAAGCCCAAGAGTCTGAGGTTGCTGTGAGCTGTGACACCACAGCACTCTACTAAGGGTGACGTAGTGAGACTCTATCTCAAAAAAAAAAAAAAAACTCACTTGCTTGAATCATTGCTGCTACATATTTTATAATAAACTAGCCCCACCATCAAAAAAAGAAAAGAAACCCCCAGGAGTGTATGGCACACCTCATGGCGGCGGGACACAATTATAAGAGGGACTTAACCTAACAAATGCAAACACTTTAACCTAATTCTTTGTATCCGCAATTAACCTGAAACAATTTTTTTAAAAGTATATATGTAAAAAAAGACAGAAACCTCTAGGAGCTAGCACTCTGGGAGGCCAAAGAGGGAGGATGCCCTGAGTTCAGGAGTTCAAGACCAGCCTCAGCAAGAAAAGACCATGTCTCTTATTAAAAATAGGAAAAAAAAAAAGTAAGCCAGCATTGTAGTGGGTGCCTGAAGTCCCAACTACTCAGAAGGCTAAGGCAGGAGGATCACTTGAGCCTAGAAGTTTGAGGTTTCTGTGAGCTACTGATGGCATAGCACTCTACTCTGGGCAATGGAGTGACACTCTGTCTCCAAAAAAAAAAAATCATTTATTATATAACCCTGCTACCTGCTCTTCACTTGAAAACTCAGGCTTTGCTTCTTCCTGTAGACTTCATAACAGATCCCTCAAAACAAGCCATGTAGTGTTTATTTTTTACCTGGGGTAGAAGAGAGAGGCATCCCTCACTGTGAGGCCTTGATTCAGAAATGTAACTCAAGTCCATTTTGACCTGCAAAGGGCTCCTTTTATTCATTCAGGGGTGGGTTTTTAAAACACAGTGCAACTTTATATAAAGTCAAGGGTGCCAGGAAAGCGAGCCTGCCAGGTGCAGAAAAGCGCAAGAAGCCTGATAGAATCTTCCAGCCCAAAGCGTGCCTTCACACACTGGCCACAGTCGCTGGCCCAGAAGGTGCCAAATAGATCTCAAAATGAGATCAGAGTGTCTGTTTTATTCAAAGCTCAGGACCATGTCCATCTGTCTTTGTCATGCACAATACTGTGCAAAAAACCTGAAAATATATTCACACAGGATCACAGAATAGGGTCCACTTGGTGTCTCTTGGCCTAAGAAGCATTTTGCTCCTGCAGGAAGGGTCAAGCAGTTTCCATCCCTCCAAAGGCCAGGGTGTGGCCAGCTACCTCTGGCCTCTCTCCCACAGGGCTCTGCAGGCCTGCCTTCACACAGGTGTCTCTTCAGCCACCTTCTTCAGGAGTCCAGCTGCCAGTGGGGAGTGCTGGGGACCCTCGGAACCATCCACATCCCGTATCTTCAGGCGCACTTTCTGGTTGGTCCTTCTCCACTCAGAGTATAACTGGCAATGGTAGCGGAAGGAGACCTGTGGGGCAGCCTGCCATGAGCAGGGAGGCCCAGAAGGTCTCCATCCCCAGGGAAGGAAAACAGGCCCCCATGGCGCCTGACGTAGTCCAAATCAGGGTCAGGTTCATGCTTCTAAAAGCAGAGGTGGCATCTGGGCATTCCTTGTACACACACACACACACACACACACACACACTTTCCCAAAAGACTCCCCACTAGCTCCCATCCCCACTCCAGCAGGAAACAGGGAGCTCCCTTTCTACCTCTCAATAGGAAGGGAGCAATACAGCCTTTTGAAAGCTTAAATGTTGGCTCGGCGCCTGTGGCTCAAGCGGCTAAGGCGCCAGCCACATACACCTAAGGTGGCGGGTTCAAATCCCC